TTATCTTCAACTATGTAAATCGTTGACTTCACGCAGAAGTAATACCTGGGGGCAAGACAGCTGTACTGCAGCGAGTAGATTTGAGTTACTCATATTTAAATACTCAAAAATGATCAAAGTAGTCTCGATTTTCTGATCAAAGAATATATCGTCTGACAGCATATTTCGTTTGAAACATCTGTTCGCCCATTTGACAGATCGAATCGCTCGTTTAACAAATCGAATTGTGGACAAACCAAATGCTCCTGTGATTATTTGACTGCACGACGGTTTTACGAGGCTTGTCGTTCGTGTGTGGCTTGGATGCCTTGCAGGCGCCTTCCCTCGTTGGTGAGGATTGACACGGCCTAGGACGATACAGGAGTGACGGGAGTGACCCGTTCCGAAAGGGGAATGCTCCTTTTCGGTTACCTTAGGTCGAAGACAACAAATCAAGAAGACTGGCAACTCTTCTATTTTCTCACACGAACGCTATGAGACAGGTACAATCGCGTCATCTGCCGCTCAAAGGTAAATGCTTCAAACGAATTTGATAGCAAAGATTACATCCTCAGAAGAAGGGTTTGAGTATTTGCTCATTTTTCGATGCGTTGCTTCCACCTTCACTCAAGCGCAGCGCTATTGTATCTGTCGCTTGGATTCGGGCAAAGTTGCCAGTCTTCTTGATGTGTTGTCTTCGCTTAGGTACAACCTGAGCTTTAAACTTCCTTCGTGGTCAATAGTCCTTGACTGCTGATTGTGGTATACTATTATGAAGCTGCCGATTCTAGGCCAGATTAGGTCAGCTCTGACCAGCTACGTGGAGTTTGTTAAGGTTCAACAATTAAATATGTATTCTTCTTATTGTTGAAATATTCTTCAATCATTAGTATACACATACATTCACACATTATTATTACAGTAATTTAACACATGTATTTCATGATTTTAGAACGAAAACTTCCCGGCTAAGGCACATTCACTATATTTACTTACTTGTTACAATTACATACAATCGAATACACGAAACTCAAAACTCTTGGTGAACAACATTGAACACCAAGAAAACCACTTCAACTTTAGCGCTTTGCCAGCAATCGTAAATGTATCATTGAAAAAGCGTTGCCAGATGTATTGCCTCTAGCAATGAATTAAAGTTTATTAAAACAAGCAATTGTGAAGTTTGACTCATTAAAATGGATGAGTGGATGTATTTAATGGTGAATAAATATCGAAGGATATTTAAAAAAGAAGAAGTAAACAAATTATTTACCCTTTGTGGCACCTAAACATTAATAATCATGCCATGGTCAACAACCATAAACAGTGCCGAACCGTTTTGGGAAACACGGCCTCATATGTTTATTTCCTCAATTTTGTGCCCAGAGCACAACATTTCAAATCAACAGCGTCTAATCCCTAAAGAATGATCGAGTAATATTATAAATCGAATGGAGCTTTCGATAAATTTATAGACAGCATAACATGCAAAAATCATTTGTTACCAATAATGGGAAGACACTGTATTCTTATGTTTTTGAAAATCGTCCAGCCTGTATGTACTCTATTATTTTTATATATTTGTGTAAATTACGTTTTCATTGAGTTTCTGGAAGATTAAAAAAAAAATGAACGTGAACTTTATTGCTCTAAGAATGGAATTTATTGAATTAATTTAGTCTAATCTGAACCTATCAAACTGCCTCAAAAGTCCCTACACAGAAATTCTAAGAAAGCACGTCAACTTACTTTGCTTGACAGCAACGGTTTCAACATTATTTTCAATATAACAATCAAATTGCTATGTTTATATAAGATATTGAGCAACGTGAGTTACTCAGAGCTACTCAAAACTAACTCCGGTTTTAGTCATGATCGAAAGCTGTCTTGCCCCCAGAGTAATACTAAACATATAGTCAAAGCATCATTAACTGTTGACCATCAACACGGAGAAGCATGTATTCGTAAAAAAAATCCAAGTGTTTTAGTGTCTCTGAGAAGAGTCATTTAAATTACAAATAACATCTTTATTGGAGTAATATCAAATAATCTTTGTTTTATTCTAGGTAATGCTCCTGGTTATGAAAACATTTTTACATAGGTGTTCCACCATAGTCAGTCTTTTGTGTTTTGGTCTCAAACTCAAACACCACCCTCGTGCATCCCCAAACCTTGTGTTCTCAGTCTATAGCCCTGCATCCTCCTGTTTATCAATTGTTACTCCAAACCTCGAGCACGCCGCGAGTAATCGGCCCGCTCTACTAATTGTAGTTTAATGTAATTTTGTTTAACAAAAACTGAATTCCGGCTCCGTAAAGCTACTGCGAATGAGCCTGGACAAATAAAATAAAATAAATCCATAGTATAACATCAAGTGGCATCATCACCACTACAGCTTAGTGATACTAAGAAAATAACCTTTGTATTAATTTAGGAATGCCTGATTCACACGGTTTTCTGGAATATTGATTGAAATAAATTCCATTTTCTAGTAAGTTTGGAAAAGAAGCTTTTCATCGTCTAGTCATATGCTCTTTATGCTCGGTCAATTCAAATAAAGTACGTAAACTTCTTGAATTTCCTTCTTCATAAATTCGTTATTTGTAATTTGAATAGTTGAAATTTACAGTCTCAATTGTAGACCCCTAATTTGCTTGAAACGTAAAGCGACCATAATGGATGTTTCGACAACGATTTCACTGTTGATGGCATCCTCCGGATCTGTTTTCGTTTTGTATCGTACTAGCTGAGTGTGCTCAGCCTTGCTCGGTCTTCAATATTAGCTTGAGTTTAAGCGCCGATTAAAAAAAAAGCATGCTATATTTTTCTGTTTCATTTGTATGGGAGCCCCCTCATCATAATAACCATTCCCGGCCCCAAAAACCCTGCATACAAATTTTAGCGCCGATCGGTTCAGTAGTTTCCGAGTCTATAAGGTTCAGACAGAAAGACAGAAATTCATTTTTTGATATATATATATACATAGATTGTCCATTCATACCCAAAGGCTTCCGGTTGACTCTACGATTATCCAAGTTAATCATCCAATCCAAGCTAAAATATCCCGTAGCGACCCTCACCCGATTTTACAAAACTTGAGCCGGATGCGTAGCGATAGAAAAATTATGTTTGTGGATGAATCGATTTGGCTTGGATAATCTGTGACTTTACCTGCTCATACCATATTTCCAAGATCTCACATGTCAGGGTAATGTGCTGTAAATGTAGTATTTGTATCAATATAATCAAATAATACGAAAAATATGGCTCTGACAGTTGATGTTTATTTTGAGTAATTATGAGTTACTCATATTTACTCATTGCAAAAATATAAATTTTGAGTACAGCTGACTTGCTCCTTATTCAAAATGAAACCTGTTGTGATCTAATTGGTTCAAAATAAAATGTGTAAAAGATAAAGTGAGCCATAAATTTTTGGTTTTTGAACAGACAAATCGTCAAAATCAGCTGACTTAGCAACTAAGTCATATTTTATTAAGAAATAATTACATGAATGTAGTTAATTCTTCCATTGTTCAGGACCTATTGTACGTCTAGTGGAAGGAACAACGAGATAAATGATTTTTTCACACCGTGTGGGGATCCTCTGGAAAATAAATTCACCGGAATACGAAGGTTATTAGGCCTATTCTGCGCAGCGTGTGAAGTGAGGTGACAATTACCATTTGAAAGATAGAAGAGAAACATCTGGTTACCCAACAATTACCGTTTGATTTGTATATGCTCAAGCTTTCACAAATCGAACCAAAATCATCCAAGATGGAGATGATTTTCATTTGTATTGTGTTGATCCATTCAGAAAGTGAATCGATTGAGAATCATCTTAAAACCATCTGATAATCTATCTCTGGGTGATGTTTTGGTTCAGTGTATGGAGTTGTCCGGTAAAAGTTTAAAAATCAGTGAAAATTAAAAAAAAAATAAAACATTTATTTCGAATTAGTGCAGACTTTGTTCAGATACAGTTCCTGCCTATTTAATTGCAGTACACAGGTTAATGTTTAATGAAACAAAATATGTTTTTTCAGATTTTATTATTTGTTACGTGGAACGGTCATTTGAAATTTTACCGACTTTTTAAGCTGTTCAAAAACCCGGTAAAATTTGACCGACTTCGGTGATCTGAAATCAGTGTGAGCTTGATTTTGTCCCATCGAACAGTTCCATGCTCATATAATTTACACCTTCGGTCTGAATGCTTAAAACTTAATAAATACATTTTATTCTAACGAACAATTGATTTCACGTAAGGTTAAACGTTTTAGCACTTTTTCACTGTCGGTTAAAAAAACAATTGGCCTCTGTATCGGACTAACGTTTCCGCGTGCAATGCAAACTTTGGACAGGAAAAGCGTGGCGTGCTATGATTCATTAACGCCTACATGATACAATTCCATCGTTGCTTGGTGTTTCCTTAAATAGAAATGTACTTCATTGTTGTTGACAATAATTGACAATTATTTATTAGCACTCGTTGAGATCGTAGTAACAAATTTTTCTCACTTGAAATAATGTTCATATCAGTACTTTGGAAAAAATCTCCACTATTCAGTTTCGCATAAACATATTGGTAATTTTTTTTTTAATTCACCTTAATTGATTCCTTTATCAGTGTTCACTGTGGATTACCCTGATTCCAAAATTGTTTGCACAATGATTCACTTAGGCAGAGCAGCAGCGGCCGATCCGATCCAATCGACGAAATTACATATGTTGCACAGCGTTCAACTGTTCTGTCCACACTGATAAGATTAAACCGGCAAACGGCTGCTGCTATTGAAATTCCGTCGATATCAGTCACGCACGCCCAAAGTGTTGGCGATTGCACCTGACTCACGATTGCAATATCTTCATTGGCATATCATTTTTTGAAACAATGTTTGAAAAACTCCAGGTTATGTAATCTTGAATGGATTCTCACTTCCAGATCGATCTGATTGTGCCAATTGAGTAAGGATGAGTCACTATTGGGTTATCATTTGTTCTTGAATTAGACTTACATAGAAATCTTCCGTGTTCTTCCGCCAGTAATTGCCCAAACTACCACGCACTCTCACCGCGTTCGGAGTAATATGTTAACCGTTCGGGGTTTGAATCAGAACTGCGGTAGGTACTAAACTGTCACACGCCGTATATTCTCGTTACAACGAGGAGGGCTATCACCCTCTCCTGGTTTATGATTACGGGCGGGAGGAATACACTAAACGGGACATCGAGCCATACCTACAGGCTGCGGCTCACGTTGTATTGCACTGAGCAACTGAGCACACACATGGGAGAAGGCCCGACTCATTTGTTAGGAACAGGGAAACGAAAATCTATCGAACGCAACTTATGACGGAGACGGTACTCCTGGAGTGGCTGATGGTGGTGTGCGACGAATGCAGCGTTTAATTTTTTGTCATCATCGTGTTATTGTTGCACAACTGATAAGATAGCCATCCGATGGTGACTTTTTCGTTTATGGTGCGCCTACTTGGGATTGAAGGGGAGAGTTGGCGGAAGTTGCGTGTGATTCTCAGCCGGCGGGATGTGTTTGTCGATGACAATACAATATTGTTGTCGATACAATATTGTGTTGGGTTCAGGCTATTTGACATGAAAGAAAGATGTGCGTGAGGATGTGTGGCCAATACTTAGTGACAGGTGTCGAAAGATGCAATTGTTAGCGATTCCTTAGCAAGATATAGAGTTAACTACCCCATTTCCGGCCTATTACGTGCAACCCACACTTAGTCGTTCTTAATCTAGCGTAGTTAAGCACCAAACGGAATGTTATTATTACTGATTTATTGACCTTTCCGTACGCAAGATTTGATAAAGAGAAACAAATTGTTGAGATATTGTTAAAAGTCTAACATAGCTTCTAGACGCCAAACTCGGCCTACGGATTCTAAACTTGGCCTAACGCATTGAAACGCCTATCGGATGAAGTTAAACATTGATGCGGTCGGAGCGCTTCATTTGTTTTTGAGAATATTGGGTGTAAACATTCAAATCACGCGTTCTTATTGACCTCGTTCGGTAGCATTAAAACCAACCGGTGGCAACTAATGATTTTAAATTGGCTCACTACTTGACTAGCCTATTGGTCCCAAGCAAATAGATTAACGTGCCCCATTCCAGTTGAATTTCTAGTACTACACTATGTTTGTTTTGATTCGCTATGAAAGTTTGACAGATAAAATGGGGGGCTCGTGGATTTTCCTATGTTTCGAGGGGTGAATCGATTAGCTTGGGACCGAAGAAGGTACCAGAGCAGAGCCAAAAAGTTGAGCACGTTTCTTCGGGATCTTCTTGTCTTAGAGTTACCTCTATGTTAAAACTAAAGTACCGTACCTGTACCTGTTACCTGTTACCGAAATCATGGATTCATTTGATGTTTTCTGCTTGATAGGCCCAAAATGGGTGCTTAGGCCGTAGTAGTTCTCTACCTTTAATAGATAAAAAAAAATACCTGGGTCCGTCAATGAGTAAGAAGATGATTACGCATCTTGCTTAACTATCAATTAAGCATCAGAAGATGTAGGAGAATCAATATTGATAGAGTAGATGTACAACTTATGGCTATACGTTCCTTATATGGTGTGTTCCAATTATGGCATATGGGATTTCCAGCCTTAACAAGGTTTCCTGAAGAGCTTTTCCAAACTTTCTCGATCGTCCCTTCAATACCAAATCTAAACGAATCTAATCTAATACAAACTCAGCCAGTACGAGAAAGCATCCTGGAAAATGATTAAGTTGGAGCCCTAATATAAAAAAATACCATAAACGAATGATAACCCAAATCATAGAACTATTACAAAAAATGGTAATTCTACCATATTAATTGTATTAGAGGTATAATTATTTTCTTGTCAATATTGATATTAGCAGCATATCTGGGATATGACACAAATGTCGAAACGGCCAGGCTTACTGCGTTGTATTTGCCGTAAAGGTGATTCTGTTAAATGATTCGAGCTTGAATAATATTCTCAAACAGAGACGTATTTCTTGAGTCTACAGGAGTGGATGCGTAGCCATACCGTACCAAATGCTACGTGTTATGTAAACATGAACTTAATATGTAATTATATCTAAATGGTATATCACTTATTGAACATATGGAACGATTTCACGTTCATCATTATTCAGATAACTTGCACGTCTACTGGATATTGATTAAGAATAACCATGCTACCTTGTCAGTCGTTGATCCGATAGATTCACTCCATCACGATTTTTTTTCGGTAGCCCTTCACTTCTTACGGGTACCTTCCCGGGGGTAAATTGAAAATCTAAAATTGCGACCGTCACGAAAAGGTGTTAGGTTTTGAACGCTTTTAACTTTGTCGTTTATAGATTAAATTAAAATCAAAATTCACCGATCGATAGGAAATAACTCTAAAAATCGGCAGAAATAAATACATTTCCAATTTTCCATAAAAACTTTAGAAAAATTTTTAACTAAAAAGTTATAATTTTGTTACTGTTTTCATGAAATAAACGTTTTCCCTATCCCAGACGTCATCATCGAGTACGACTTGGTAGCGCATCGTTCTTCTTGAAACTGTTCGGATCGGACTATGATGCGCAGCTATGATCCTTACCATCAACACATTTAACAAGTAGATAACCTATATCCGAGCTTTACCTCTGATTTTAAAATTGTATAGCTGAATCCTCCTAATTTCTTATTAATGTTGTACTAAGCACCTATTTATTGGAAACCAAATGTTTGATTTTAGAAAAGACACTTCTACTTTTAATGTATTTTGAATGAGTATTAAGAAAATTGCACGAGAAGTTCACTAAACAGTTTGACGTAGTCTACGTGAACCATGCTGTCGTGTCTTGTACACAACCTCATCATTTTTTTCTTACGTTTTATACGGGATGAATCATGGGCGTGAATTTCGGGTTTGCATTTAATACACACCGGTTACTTTACAAAACAAAAAAAAAAATTCACTAATAGAATCATATCGACTATTTATTACTGCTATGACTGCTTATGATCGGTCCGTTCGCAAGACAAATTTGGAAAAGGGAAACGGTTAAAAATAATAGATTAAATGCAAAGACCGACACAATATCCAGAATGACAAGTGAGGGGATGCATTTCAATGCCTTAGCAATGAGAAGGATACTGATTTGAAATTTAAAATTTATCTAAACCTTACATAGACCGACCACCGAAATGAATATTTCTCTACGAACTACTATTAATTCCTAATACACTTCTTTGATAAGTACAAAACTCAGCTACTTATCTGCTTTCTTCACGACGTCTCATCCGATTTCGTTTTCCATCGCCGAGGGTAGCAGGCAGCTGAAGTACGTACGGTTACAACACGGACCACGTCGTCTTGTCCTGGAGTTCCATAATGCACGCCAAAGGCCAGCGTACAGGCGGTAGTTGCTGGTCTTGCAAAATTACTATTTGGCCAACTTTTAGGTCGATTTTTCATGAGTTGATTGTCGCTTGGCGTTGCAGCTCCTTGAGATACTCGGTTCTCCATCGGTACCAACAGTGCTGAACCTTTTTCTGGGCGAGCTGGTACCGGTCCAATCGGTTGATCGGAATCTCTCTTAATTCCGGTTCTGTAAGAGATTGCAGGGACGAGTCCTCCAAAAGTGACCCGGTGTGAAGGTTTGAAGATCGTTGAGCCATGCCATAGCTCGACCAGAGGGCGAGAGTTCATACAACTCTCAATTTGCACCAACACTGTTTCGAGGTCTTCTTGCAGCAACGAGATGGTCCCAAATTGACGAAGTAGATGCCTTTTAACCACTTTAACAGCAGCTTCCCAGAGTTCACCGGGATCATATGCCACTTGATTCCATTCGTAGCGAGACAGGTAGCGATGTGAGCATTATCGGTTTGGTTGTTGAGCATTCGGTATAGGTCATGGAGCTCAAGCTTTGCTCCGGGGAAGTTCGTGGCGTTATCCGAATAAATGTGTTCGGAAAACCCGCCCTGAGCAATAAATCAATAGACTAAAGGGTGATACGGTCAAAATTTGGTCAATATCAACTTGACGTATTTCTTTCAATTTTGCATTTAAAAAACCTGAACACCCCTCATTTTGAAGGTGTGTGTGTGTAGAATGTTGCTCCTATTTTGATTTTGGAATTCACTCTTCAGTTGTCAAAATGCCGTCCAAGCAAGAAGAGCAGCGTATCAAAATTTTGCTCGCGCATCGCGAAAATCCGAGCTACTCGCACGCAAAGTTGGCAAAATCGCTAAAAGTTGCCAAATCAACCGTTACAAATGTAATTTAAGTGTTTGGGGAACGTTTGTCGACAGCCAGGAAGTCTGGATCGGGGGGAAATCGAAAACCGGAAGCCGCTGAGACGACAAAGAGAGTTGCCGGTAGTTTCAAGCGAAACCCTAACCTCTCTCTCCGAGATGCCGCAAATAAGCTGGGTGTATCGTCTACAACCGTGCATCGAGCCAAAAAATGAGCCGGACTATCGGCTTACAAGAAGGTAGTGACTCCAAATCGCGATGATAAACAAAATACGACGGCCAAAGCGCGATCCCGGAGGCTGTACACGACGATGCTGACGAAGTTTGACTGCGTGGTAATGGACGACGAAACCTACGTCAAAGCCGACTACAAGCAGCTTCCGGGACAGGAGTTTTATACGGCAAAAGGAAGGGGAAAGGTAGCAGATGTTTTCAAGCACATGAAACTGTCAAAGTTCGCAAAGAAATATCTGGTTTGGCAAGCCATCTGTACCTGTGGCTTGAAAAGCAGCATTTTCATAGCTTCCGGGACTGTCAACCAAGAAATTTACGTGAAAGAGTGTTTGAATAAACGTCTGCTGCCTTTCCTGAAGAAACACGGTTGTTCCGTACTGTTTTGGCCGGATTTGGCATCTTGCCATTACGGTAAAAAGGCCATGGAGTGGTACGCCGCCAACAACGTGCAGGTGGTTCCCAAGGTCAAGAACCCTCCCAACACGCCAGAGCTCCGCCCAATTGAGAAATACTGGGCTATTGTCAAGCGGAACCTAAAGAAGACCAAAAAAACTGCTAAGGGCGAGCAGCAGTTCAAGGCAAACTGGCTTTCTGCGGCGAAGAAGGTGGACAAGGTGGCTGTACAAAATCTGATGGCAGGGGTCAAGCGTAAGGCCCGGCAATTCAGATTTGGAAAAACGGAAGCCTAACTGAATATTTTTCCTGAATTTTATACTAATTGAACTTGAAAAAGAAATTTAATTTGATTTTTTAAATAAACGATTTCACCGATTTACACGCGTTTTCCCTTGACCAAATTTTGACCGTATCACCCTTTAATACCTCTCTTTCAACTCTTCGTTCCGATCTAATTTCCGTTCGACACTCTACAACCGTCGCAAGGCATTGTGATAGGAGTTACTAATCATACGGGAATAGGCTTACCTTTTAGCAAAGACCATAAATCAAGAAGACTGGCAACTTTGCCAGAATCCAAGCGACAGATACAATGGCGCTGCGCTTGAGTGAAGGTAGAAGCAACGCATAGAAAAATGAGCAAATACACAAATTCGTTCGTATGAGAAAATGGAAGAGTGGCCAGTCTTCTTGATTTGTTGTCTTCGGTTTTAGGGTATTTGACTATATATCGCCCAGTCAAATCCCGGGATACCGAGCGTTTGTAGAAATCCTCACAGTACTGCGCGGTGGGTGATAGAATTTTGGAATTTATCTAAACCGCGTTTGCCGATCAGCACTGACTGTAGGTCAACGTCCTGTGTCCTTCTCAACTGGACCATTAAAGAAAAACCACTTCGCGGCTTCCAAACGTTGTGGTCGTAACGATGTTTTTCACAGATCACACTTTTCACACCGGCGAAAAGGAAAATTGACAGCGTAAGCAAAGCCTACTTCGATGGTCCCTTCAATACAATAGTCGTTATATTGCTGATTGCATCTGAAACTGGACTGTCCCAAAAATGCAAAAAGTGTGATAAAAGTGCACGTTTCCGTCAAATCGTTTTGATGTCTTGGGAGCACTTATTGCTTGCATCATAAGGAATAAGTGCACCGAAGACACCAAGATGATTAAACTTGCAGTTTTATCACACTTTTTAATAAGTGAAAACGCGCTTATTAGTCCAATTTGGTGTAAAACGCGCAATATCTCAGGCATAACATTTGATAACGGCACAAAAGCATTTGTAAACAAACTTTCTAAGGCCCTTTACACGCGAACCAAAGTACGCCCACGCAAACCAATACCACTTTCGGAAGGGTGATAGTTGCCCCTATCCGATGATGTTGTTGGTTTGCGTGGGTGTACTTTGGTTCGCGTGTAAAGGGCCTTAGAAAGTTTGTTTACAAATGCTTTTGTGCCGTTATCAAATGTTATGCCTGATCTCTTCTCAATTTCCTTTTGAAGATCACACAGTCCGTGCAATTTATGTCCTTTTCGTTTTTGCGATGTAGCACCGGTGTAGTGTAAGCAGGAATAAGCGCGAGTTTTTAACAGCTCAACATCATTTGTTTGTAAACAAAGGTGCATCCTATATCCACACCCTAAATTATTTCGGTGTACGGCAGTAGCACCGGTGTAGCTACACCGGAAAAACGAAAACGACATTAGCTTTTTTTTAATATTGCAGACTACAGTAGGCTGGTTGTGTAGCTTATAAAACAGCGTTTATTCGATAAACAAAACATTTTTATTAATTCATTTAGGAATATGAAACAATTAATGCAATACTTGCAACCACACAGTTTTGCTGCTATCATCCTACACTATTGATACAAAAAAAGTTCCTTTGCGTCAAGGAGATTTACCGCCGTTCTTATTGTATAGTGCTTTTCCAGGTAGACGAAAGAATTGCGCAAAAACTGAACTGTTGAGCCACGTTAGATGCAAACGCTTTTGAGATTTTTTTTTGTTCCCATACAAGTCGTTTCAGAAGTCATTCTATAATTATTTCATTACTTAGTGCTGTGGTGACGTTATGCGAAGCCGATCGTATATGGCGACTGTTATCTGCTAGTCCGACTCTATACCTAATCATGTATTTTTACAATCTAATTCTATAACTCAACGACGTTGCTAACCAATCCAAATCGCGGATATCACTCTCTTCACTATCCATTCCCGGTAGAAATAGATAACGATATAGGAAGTTTGTATTGGTTAGGTTTTTTTTTGCGGGAGATACGCATATTCCTTCGTGTTTCAGTTCACGAACGTCTGTATCGACGAGGCTATCGACGATATGCTGCCCATTAATTTTGCAAACCCCCATAGCTTGCTGCACCACATTGCATTGGTTTGAAGCTTGCAATTATTCCACAACACAGATTACCTTACTCATAAATGATTGAACAATAGGGATTCCTTCTTCGGTGCTATTTCATTTGATAACATCAATTGATCAGAATTTGAACCTAAAAAGCTCATATTTTCGGAGGAACATGAAATATTGTTACTGGCATGCTATATAAGTATAGCGTATGTTTTAGAATATTACGTTTGCAATCACACCATTTGAGTGGAAAGCGGAAGTGCACTGAGCTTGTTTAGCTCTCTAGCTAGATTGTAGTTTAGATAGCTTTGTAATGACGCTGCTCGCGGCACTATGATTTGAATTATATTGGATTATAGTCATTTCCTTGTTTGATCAGAATAATGTGACAAGTACAACTTCAACACGAGATGTAACTGTCGTAATTAACGTGAGTAGGCTATTCACACAATGAAATCCTTGCAAAGTTGGCCTTGTTTATTCAAACCCACGATATTTCATAGGGGCTACACGAGTTTACAGATGCTCACGGTAGTTCATTCAAAATTGATAATATTATTTTTTCTTGACCTGAGCGAAAACAAAATCCGATGAATCTTTTTCGCGCAGGAGTCGTTATCATTTAAGTATAATCACCTAATCAAGGGGGTTTTAATCATACATATAATTATCATCTCTAAGTTGACCCCCGTTGTCATCTACGTTGCAGAACACGGCGAATATTGAAGAACACATAACATAGATTTTATTTTATTCCTCCACCCTTTCAACCTACAGAAAACATTTCAGTTCACTTCTTCGACTTCTTAGTATCCTCGACCTCTTCATCGCTGTCGCTTTCGGACGAGGAATGCGATCGCTTCTTTCCACCGCCAGACTTCGCTAGCTTTGTACAGTACGTCTTCAGTTTGTCCACATTGGGACTGTAGGCCCAGTAGATCATCTTCAAGTGCACCTCCGTTGGCTTTCCATCGGAATCGAACAGCTTTTCACCGCTTTCCTTAACCTTTTCCTTCAGCTTAAGTAGTTTCCTGTTACGGATGATATCCCAACTGGTGCTGTCGTCGTCTTCCGGAAACTTTGTTCGCAGATGTTTGTAGTTGCCCTTGGCTACCGTGTCATAGCATTCCACGAATTCTGCTGTTAGTTCGTCGGATGGTTTTCCCGGTAGAGATTTAATCAAATCCAGTGGCAGATAGGCCATGTTCTGCTTGGACCGTTCTTCGCTGTCGAAGGTTTCCAGGAAATCGTCAAACGTTTCCATGGCCTCCTTGATGGCTTTGATCTTATCTTCATTCTTGGTGGACGGAAGAACACGCTTGGCGCTGCCCAGTAGGCCTTTGATGGCAAGCTTTTGGTAGTCTGGATCGCGGCCTTCAAGGATTCTGCAAAACACATTTCATAATAATTTCCTACCAAAATCAGGATTTGAATAAAAACCTACTTGAGAGTCTTCTCTGCCGCTTCCTTATCCTTGAATCCCAGACCGGCTACCGTTTCGACCTTCTCCTCGGCTTCCTTGGGCTTGGCATTCTTGGTACTGCTGTTGGTGTTTTCTCCGATCCAGTTTTCGAACACCTTGATGGCCTCCTTGATGTTCTTGACCTTCTCTTCGGCTTTCGTTACTGAAATAGAATGTTTAAATTAGACGAAAACTAGTTTCTAGTACTTTGAACCACCGAAGACAATGAGGTGCGTACGTGCCAGTAAAGATCAACTATACATTCTGGACAACACATTTTGTTCCCAGAATGGGCCTCTCTCCACGTGCTCGCTCCACACTTGGCGGCATATGCTCTTCTCTTCGCGCCAGCTTCGGTAAGAGAATCTTTAGAGAGAGGGGCCTGTTTTGATTGGACAACTATAGTAAACAAGCGGCAAGCGATGATGTGGAGAGTGTACCGGCTAGTCGTTTCAATTTCAATACAGAGACCGCGCGGCCTTCGGGACGCGTCATCAAACTCTGTCATCGTCATAAATTATCATCACCAGCACCACTAGCGTGGCTGCGTATGTTTAAAAATAGAGATTACTTCACAACCATATGTATGTTTATAAATTATGTTCGGAAACCAACATAATTTGACACATTTTCGTTAGTGCTGCTGTTTATTTGAAGTTCATTTTCGTTAAAGCTATGACCGGAATCACCATAGAACCCAATCGTTTTAGGCCCACTTGATGACATCACCGCCTAAAAATGAGCTAAAATTTGCCCAAATTACTACTTACGAGTCAGCACACGTTTGGCCCGTCCCAGCAGGCCACGAACCGTTAGGGCTTGGTACTTGTGATCTTCACTTTTGAGCAGCTCCAGCGTCTCCTCGGCCTTGGCTTTGTCTTTGAAACCATACTTGGACTCTTCTTTGGACATTTTTGGGCAACTAGTAAATGTTCGATCTCTCGCCTGCTGCAGTTCACGATCAACTGAAAGAGTTTTGCTGCTTATGGATCAATCCCCAACCTAATCGTGTGGCAGAAGCAGCGGCTGTTTGCGTTTGGTACCACTTTGTTATACGAGAAGCGATTTTGTGTTTTTGTTTGATTTTACAGTGGAATAGGTGAAAGAGGAATAGAGCCCGGTTTAGATTATTCAATTCAGCGTTCAACTCAGTTGTACTGCAGAATGATCAAACAGAAAGCTGGTTGATGTCGGACTTGCTCTATTCGATGTCAACACAATTGAACGCAGACTTCCACAAATGGAGGTGAGTTGAATTTAACTGACTTGCCTCGTCTAAATTCGGATTAAAGCTTTCTTGTGGGAACGTGATTTTTCACCGAGCGATGTAGGCATTCCGATGCGAGAGCGTGATGTCACTGCTAGTTTTAGACATGTGGGACAAAGTTCAGCGAACATAATAGTGTGTTGGAGGCAGTAATGGGAAGAAACATGATAGGGTTCGATGATCAAAATAAAAACCCATGTCTTCGTGTCAAAAAAATTTCCCATACCGGGAATCGAACCCGGGCCTTCTGGGTGAAAGCCAGATATCCTAGCCACTAGACCATATGGGACTGTTAGTTTAATAAAATACACTCATAAAATAAATCACATAACCGATGGATATATCAATGTGAATTTCACTTAACTTTTATGTGATTTAACAATTGGAAATTGCACCACTAAATCACATTAACCTTATGTGTCCAATGAAATCTATATCATTACTTACATAGAATTTATTATGTTATATGATATTCAGATTAAAAATCATCAATTTCGCTATTGGAAAAATATTATTTGCGTTCCTAAAAACTATGTGAAATCTTTTTACGCTAATGTTTCGCGTATGATTCTAGAAGTTCTATATTTATGGTCATATTCTTAATCAAATTTACAGGCGCAGTGAGTTCTATTATTGAGAGATTTATTTACACATTCGATGTAAATGTTAAAGCCTGTTTAAAGTATATTTTGGAAGCAGGTGTACACCCGTGCCCCTCGTAGTTGGAGCCAGAATATTTTGACAATATATTTATTACTTTGACGAGTAACTGGTAAAAATTTCATCAAACTTGAACAACATTTTTCAAAGACCATGGAACACGAAATAAGAAAAATCATGCTGCGCAAAACCCAGAAAAATTCCTCTTCGTATAGTTCCATGTTAGTGAAAGTATTAAAATTACAATAATCAACAGAGGCAAGAGAAAGGGGGACGTCATTAATTTTTTGAAATTCCCATGTAAAATCGTGCGCTGAATCCAAAAATGTAGTCAAAAAAAAATTCAGTAGGATAGTTTTCGAGACATAGCTAAACTAAAAAATGAAATTTTACTTTAGAATAATGTATTTACTAAAATACAAATATCTTCGGCTGTAAACAGGCTATATTAATTATTTTAACGCCAAATTAAATGTGACCAATATTTTTATCGAGTGAAATTAGTGATACAACCACTACAAACATTTTTATTTACATTAATATTTTTTGCAAAAATGCAAAAGTTAAACAAACCATTAATTAACAACAATACTACTAATCTCACATACAATTGACGTTGAGTTTATCGAAAGCAAATGTTTTCACCTTTAATTTGGCATAAAAATAATTGATATTGTGTCATTACAACCGGAGATATTTGTATTTTAGTAAACAACCCTTTTTATGTGATTTTTCATTTTTTAGTTGTATCTCGGAAACTATCCTACTGACTACATTTTGGGATTCAGCGCAGGATTTTACATAAGAATCATTGGTCAAATATTCAAGTTATTTTTTTACTTTTATTTGTAAACTAGTATTATTTATGTCATGCTGTTTTTAAGAAGTTAACTTTACAGAAAGAAATAAAAAAAAAATCTTTTAGATACCTTTATGACCGTTATTGTTTAATAACTTATTTGATAAGGCTCAATCGAATTAACTTAACAGAGCCCAGGATTCTTGTTCACTATACAAAACTTCGTAAAACAATAGTCAAAAGGTACAACACAATAAATACTTTATCTTCCGCTTGAAATAATTTCATTGTATGGCAGTATCGCCAAACGGGGGCAGAGTGCTTCCATTACAGCTCACATAATCATCACGAAACGGTTGTTTTCCAAAGTCTACGGCGTATCGACCAAAAGAACTGCTGATGAAGAATAATGATAATTTACAATAAAAAAGGGGGGTTGTTAAGTATCTTAACAATGAAATTTTCGTGATTTTCCCATATAATTTTTTTTCAATAACATTAAATATTATTGTTATTTTACTGTTGGTTGGCGAATTTATTGATTAATAAAAATAACAGTGTACTTTAGAGTGTATGTGTTGGCCTGACAGATCTACTTTATCGACTTTAAAAATAAATCGAGAAAATAAAACATTGCCCCGGGAAGGGAAGGGGGTGGTATGTCTGTTACGGGTGGTCCTTTTTTTACTGGTTATGGATCGAGATTCGATCCGGAACTTGTGAGAAATGCAGGCCAACTCCCCTGCGCTCGATATCCCTAGGTCACGTCTCCTTGGTGGTTGAGCGTCGTTGATAAGTTAATGCATTCGACTGGAGAGAATCGCCCATGAAATATGCTTCCACCTGAGAGTTCCTTCCTGACATCTTCAAGTGGTGGAATTTTTTATTATTATTGTATGATTATTGACTGCACGGAAAAGATCTCCATTAAGCTTTAGAGAGGGTCTAGGATAAGATATGAGCGGACGCGGACTGCCTGGTTTTGAGCCAAACGAACTGTCAAAGCCAGAGCCATACGAGCAGCGCCTATCTTGATTACATTGGCAGTGTTGCTGACCCTCTCATAGTCTGCATGCTTCAATCAGATTTATTTTTATTGTTCGTGAAGTAACCCACAATGAAAATACACCAATATTTGATGTAACAACAATTTTTATTGTAATAGAGTTGTTCATTATTGTTCATGATCGAATCATGTTAACAATAAAATAAATGAAAAATACGATAAAAATCATTGTAACAACATTTTATTATGTACATGCATTGTACAGCTAGGTAGCAGTTTTGCCGTTTTCGGAAGAGTACAACATTATAACAATCATTTTTATTGTCGACAATAAATATTAATGTTAGAGCATTGTTTCCACTGAAAATTTCACTGTAATTTTTTGTTCGGGTAGTCACTACCAAAAACTTCAGATCGTGCGAAATGCCTACACTGAACGAATTTGACATATTCCTGTTATGTGGAAATCTAATAAATTTGCGCTATAAGATAATCCATTAAAAATGATATGATTGAAAATGTGTCAGGTAAATTCTATATGAATATCTGATACATTTACAATGCTGATAATTTGGTAACTTTTATATGATCGTTATATGATAAATGAAAATCGATCAATTTATAATAATTAACTGAAATGGATTTGAAACCCATAAGCATAAGCTATACTTTTCACCACAATATAATATATGTGTCATAAATCAATCGAAGTAAAGTTTATGTGAAAATAACATGAAATTTACTTCTTCTTTTGACACATATATTTAATCGATTTCTAAAAATAAATTCGAAAAATAAACATCAGGCAGTGGGAGCTTTCACAGTTGTGCCTTTTTTTTTATTGTAGCTGATTTGGGATTCGATCAAGATCTGTTGAGGTGTGATGCTTTCGGTGTCTGTGCTCGATTCCACTGGGCCACGGCTGACTTCAAGATTGAGCTCGTTCAAATAGCATGAAGTAAGAACAGCTCTCCCGACATGGAATGTAGTGCAACTTTATGCTCGTTTTGCTAGAGTGAAGACAAATAGCACTGACAAATTTATGTTCCGTTTCGGTGGTGTGGTTTGTTCAAATCTTTCTTAATGCACCTGTGTGCAATAAATCAACCACTAAATTATATGATTTGATAGAACTGGCTCATGAAGTTCGAATACTACTTAGGGCTGGAATCTGAATTAGCCGTGTAGAAGGCTTACAATTAGAATCATAGCAAAGTAAATATTACAGTAGAATCATTTTTTTTCAATCTCAATACATTCTTTTCTGGAACCAATTATCATATGAAACAATAACAAACAAAGATTATTCAATACAGTATCATTGTTGTTAGTAGTATTTAGTTCAACTAATCATTTTAATGAGTGTACGTTAACATCGTTGAAAATTGTTTCAATAATTTATAAAGAACAATCATGTAAGATGTATTTTATTGGGAGCGATATTCATCCCAGAAAAACATGCAAAAACAAATGCTTGCTGTTGGATTTCTTAAAAGGCATTTCTATATGACTATTTAATGATTGGGATAGATCTGTTTACAATATTTAAACGTCAAAAATCAAAGCAAGCTATTACAATGAGATATACATGTTTTCCTATACTGCAAAGTTAAATGACAGTCCAATAGTTTCTACATGTCTATTTACACGCGACATATCAACAAACGTCAAAAATCAGTAAAAGCAACTCCAATAAAATATACATGATTATCTTATAAGATATATATTTTAGTGAGCAATATTCATCATGAAAACAGGTATATTTTACTGAATTTTCTCATAGTGCAAACTTATATGATTTTCCATTAGTTTCTAGATGTCTGTTCCCACCCATGACATATCAACAGTTTTTCACCATGAAATATATCAGACAATATTCATATACTTCTTACCTTCGCTAACCACGTTCGAAGCAAAGTATTATCAAGTACTAAGTATGTGAAATTACGATAGAAATCATTCCATATCGCAGTCATAGTTTTTAAGTGATAATCCAATGGAATCTATCAATCATCACATAGAATGAATAAATCTGCTGACATTGCTATGTTATGAGATGGATCCAATAAACGGTACATGTCGATTTGTTTCAGTGTAGTGAAATAACTACCATCTTCAGCGCCTTTATTGTCTCCGCCAACCATTTCCGCTTGGCCAGGTCCCACTGGAGAATGATTCCATTCTTATTCGTCACGTACAGAAACCGATCATCGTCAGTCAAACACAGACATGGTG